ACACACACATTAACGTTTATTTATATAGATTAAGGACTCAATGTCCATTTTTAATCAAAATGTTTTTTTCATTTCATACTATAATTAGGCACAAATAATGATAAAGCACAGTAGTTAGATATAAGTAATTGACAATTTAAGTAAATAACTAAAGCTTTCGTTATTTGTTAAAGAATGTAACACCTACTGGAGAATAGAATGCATTTTCGAAAAGGTAAGCAATATAAATTTTCGCTCAATGAAATATAGTTGATATATAAAGTTTTACTTGTAATCTGTTTTTAAAGCAATTTAAAAACCTTTAAAGTTAAAAACATTTTTTGTATGGTAACGTTAAAGTGCTGCTTTGAAAAATGCTTTCCAATGAAATATCGAAAATAAAAACAAGTTTTCCTGGAGTGGTGTTATTTTAAGATACACTAATGGTGACATTCTGATGAAAGAAACTTTTAAGACCTTTGTGACTCTTTTCTTGTTATGTATGTGGTTTAGTTAGTATTTCACTGTGTATTACAATGCAGAAAAAATATTATTAAGGATACATATAGAAATGTATTGAATAATTATTTCAACGTGTAGCAAAACTTGTAGGATGAGGAATTTCACTGTATATTTGTGACGAAAATAGGTTCTACTGTTTTCAGAAAATTTTACTCGTATAGTATTATTAAACTAACATAGTTTTATTTATTTGATAATTTTTATTTGTTATCTGGTAAGGCATTATTAAGAATCTAACGTCTTACTATAAATTACCCAGTCATTATTCCCAAAGAACAATACAAAAGCTGTGCACTCTTCAGTTCTACTTCGTGTTTCTTCACACAAACTTGGATACTTTTATATGATAATAGTTATCATTAAATTCCAGACAGATCAGTCACGGTGTTTACTATTTGTTCATTTGTATTGAGCTCAGCTTTCAATGCACATTTATCTTACAGTAGTTACTCCAAGATATGTGGGCCGAAGTTTAATTATCAAAGTAATAACGATGTAACTATTTTTTTCTGAACTTTATATTGTACAAGAGCCTAATGGTGCTAATTCTGTCTCCGTAGAAATGTCAAAAACCTCAACACATTGCATTTTCGTTCGAAATTAAAACAACTAGAAATTATGATCTTTCACAAGCAGAAAGGATTGATAATGCACCGTATTAAATACGTTGGTGTTACCGCAGTGATTATCTCTAATTTCCTTGAATATAATGTTTAAAAAATTCCCAATCGATGTGAGATAAATTTGATTTTAACAGTCTCTTCCCGTGTTCTGTATTGATATATACAAAATGAATCTGAAATGTATTAGTTCTTGTTTTCATTGTGTTCAAATTTTAAGGAATAATAGAACAGGTTGTTTCTCAAGTTGTGGTCATTGATAGTCATATGATTAAAGAATAAAGGTTAATAGGATATATAGCATCTAGATTATTGGTCAAAGCACTGATTGCAAACAAGTTTTGCTTTTGCTAATAAATGGGTACACTTGGCATTAATAGTATTGATTTACTCTAATCATTCGGTTTCTTTTCATTTATGAACTATTATATTTAAATAAGTATAAAAATTACAAATCTGATAAAACAACGAGATCCTGTTAGATATACACGACTGCTGCATTTAAATTTATTACTAAAGTAATAAATTTTTAATATTAATATTTTTTGAAGAGATAATTTATCGCAGGTTCGCTTACGTAACTGTTTACCAATCATTTGTTGTGAACTGACATCACGTTACTCAAATCTTTTGATTTCTTCTAGTAGGTGTAGAAAGGTCTAGGTCTCAGTCGGACTTTTTATAAACAGGCGTCCAACAATGTAGTAAGTATGTGAGAGATATAGTTAGACAGATCTAGACTGAGTGATTGTGAGTTTAGCAGCGATTTCTAAAGTAAGTTGCACAGATTATATTGTAATAACAGAGATAGGAAGAATTGGGCTCCATAGTCATGAACCAGCCTGCATGGACTTTTAACGAAAAGAGACAATTATTTAAAGCTCTGGGTACAACTGTGGTAACTAACAGAAAGTTGCTAAAAAATAAGTGAGTTATTGAAAATGAAAGCAAAAGTGGAGTTAAACTGTGAGAGTTTAGCCATAACGGGCGATTTCTAAAGTCAATTCCATAGCTTTTATTGTAATAACAGGAATATAGAAGAATTATTTGTCCTGTCAAAGTAATTGAACCCGCCTGTTTGGATTCGACAAAAATGAGACAATTATTTAAAGCTAAGGATACAGTTGTTGTAACCAATAGTTATAGTGGTAATTTTAAAGTGAGTATCACAGCCTTGTATTGTAATAACAAAGTAAAGGAGAATAATTTTTCTTGTCAAAGGATGTTATAAAGTAACTGAACCCGCCTGTGTAGAGTTTGACGAAACAGGGGCAATTATTTAAAGCTCTGGATACAACTATGATAAGCAATAGTGTGACGAATTTTTGTACATACATTTGACTTGTTTTGAATATATTATTTTCAAACAATTGGATTGTGTGCTGTCCGTTTATTGTTGATATTTATCGCCAGCAAGTCACAGACACCTCTGTGAAGAATCCACAGCCCACATTCAAAACCTGACATACTGAAAAAGTTATTCATAAAACCTCATGTACCATAAAGAGAATTATGATCTTTGATCAACTGTTTAGACTTATAGGAAACTTCCAAGAAAGACCATACAGTAGACTGAAAAACAAGGTCTAGCTATATATTACTTATAACCAGTTATTTTAGGTAATATTAATGTTGTTTGAACGTTATGGTATCAAATTATCATCGTTTATTTACTTGTTTGTAGTTAAGCACAAAGCAACCCACTGAGCTATCTGTGCTCTGCCCACGAGTATCGAAACCAGGTTTCTAGCTTTGTAAATCTACAGACATATTGCTGTACCACTGGGGTGGGGTGGGGCTAAATTAATTTAGTAAATGTAATTGTCTTTATGTACTTGTTCTGATTCTTAAATAATATTGCTCCCGAAAATGGGTATCGTTCATTTATTAACAAGTTAACTCATCTTACTACTAAAAATATAATCAGTCCTACAGTGTATAAGTTTTGTCAACTTGCGATAACTGTCAGCGATTTGTCACCATGACAACTCCCAAACTACATACATACAACAAAATACGATTGATTTTAATATTTGTAATTTTGTGAACATGTATGGTGGGTTTCATCATTGGAATTAAGATACTTCTTTTTTAATTTAATACCTGCCATTTATATTTTGTTCGTTCTTGGTGGGTTTATAGGTTTGAATTTTTAAATTTAGAATAACTAGTGATGTTCAGAAACAGTCATTTCTCCTCATCGCCCCCGTTATTTTAGGGATTGTGGTGAATTTTAATCAGAAGAAGAAAACGAAGAAAAATATTAATAATAAGCAATTAGATAGGATGCTACCTCACAAACCAGTTAACTGGGAAAGATGTTAGGGTAGTGAATTAAGTAAAAGATCTCATCCTTACTAATAAGGAAGTGGTATATTATGGAAATAATAGAAAAGCTTATATAATATAGTTTTGGATTTCAAGTGAGCATTTTGTAATAACTGTTATTTTAAACGATTTTCATCATGTAAATATAAACAGTTTAACTAGTGGCAATTCTTCAATTGGTTCTGCTTATATACATCTATAGCTTCACACATATATACAAGATATAATCAGCATTTTAGAAATATATTGTCAAGTGCAGTTTATTTACGCAAAATTGTAAATACTCCTTAATAAATGCCTCAGTTAATTCACAAGTAAGAATTATACACAACTTGGGCGAATTAGGATTTAAAATAATAACCAACTAATACATGCGTTAAACTTTTCACTGCCAGAGGGCATGATGATGTAGGTAGGACATTTAAGTCATATTGTATGTGATGAGCACGCAGATAGTTCATAATAAATCCACCAGAGGGTAATGTAGACCAGAAACATCACCGTGTTTGAACATACGATTAGATTATCAGCTTTATAGTTCTTACTCTAGTAACAAACAAAACCTTAAAATTAATATTTAATGTAATTTGTATATTGAACGTTTTACAATTATACTCATTTATATTGTCTAGTGCATAAAAGAACAGGTTAACATTATAGTGTGACTATCCAGAAGTCGTGTTGAAAGGAATTACAGACGGACCAATAACAGTGTTTCTATAATTTCGTAGGAGATGAAGTAGGTAATCGAACAGCATACAGACCTAAACTTGTATTTAATTTTTTTCACATTGTAGTTTTCTCTTCTATATTTAATTATATAACTAAAAAGTTATTTGATAATTTACAAGTAAATTTATTATTTGAACAAGACAGTCAATACATCTGATTGTTTTTCATTCAATAATTAATTTGCTTATGTCATAAAAGTTTCTAATGATTTACAAGTAAAACTATTATTTTGAAAAGTATCCACTGAATGTACAAACAATTTGTAAGTTTGAAAAAGCTATTTGTGGTACAAATTAAACAAAAACCACAAATTAAACGTAAAATTAAAATTACAGCTAAAGCAGGATCTGCCATTAAAGATTTCAACCGAAAGTTATATAAAAATGTAAAAGATGGCAATAACATTAGTATAAAATAGAATTTTTAGACTGCGAACTGTAGAGAAAATCCAAAACTAAAGAAATATTGAAAACACTGGAAATTGAAGAGTTAAAACTTAACAGTAATAAAACATCAGTCACCCGCTGGGACAGTGGTAAGTTTACGGATTTACAACGCTAAAATTAAGGGCTCGATTCCCGATAGCCCGATATGGCTTTGTTAAGAGAAAAACAATAAAACATCAAGAGCACCATTATGTTTGTATTAAGTTAATTTTCTCTAAAATGAGAGGGAGCACGTATCGTAATTTAAATTATTTAATAGGATAAATTTGTAATTTGATTATACATGAACCTTTTGTAATTGTATTATATATGATCATGTCTTACAGCTATAGTATAGGAATAAGAATATTAATTTTTGTCCCACAAACAGCTGTTTCGAAACTACCTAGCTTGAACTTGTGAGGACAGAAGTTGAGTGATTGTATCTCTTATATCATAACCATGCGCATTAATCATTTATTGCCAAGGGGGTGCGAGTTGGATAGGGTAGAATGTTGTATCTCTGTTTCGAAAACTGGAGGTTTTTGTATAACTATTAAAGAAATTATATTGGAAAAAATTATATTTTATATGAAATAGTTAAGTGTACTAAAATACAGAGAATGATTAAGCCTATAATGAATTACAAAGTAAGACTAAAATTTAAAAGTTACATTAGTCTTCAGTGAAGTACGACATATATATATCAAAAGCTGTAAAATGTAAGTTAAGTCTACGTGTAAAGACTTTAACTTTATGTTGACAAAGTCAATAGTGATATAATTTCGATTCATTATTTTTTCTGTCAAACGTTATATTCATACTACTGCCTGCGTCTAAACCTACTGAATCTTATCTCGATTTGGATTGCTATTGCTGTTAGTGTTATTTACTGGAGAAGTTAGAGCTAGAAGTAGAACTTACTAGTACTCAGTGGTAGAGAAGAAAATTTTGACGTTCAGTGATGGTTTTGTGATGGTTGATGAAGTTTGTGTTAACTATAATTAATGAGTAGTAAATATTCTTATACTGTTATAGACTGCAAACGGCCTTAAAATTATGTACTGTTCCAATAGGAAATACTAAAGTAGAAAAGAAAAGTACATGTAATTCTTAAAATGCTTTTAACCTAATCAAACCAAATTATCAACATCTTAACTTTGTAGAACTTAGAAGTCATTTCAACAAAAAGTTGTCATACTGATACATTGCCATGTATTCATTCCATCAAAATTAAACTATTACTTTTGACAATATTGAAAGTTTAAAACTTATGTGTTGTGTACAGTGCATGTATTAACTTTGTGCTTAATTTGTTGTCAAAAATAATTTAACATTGAATTCATTTTAACATATACAATTAATAAATTCCTTTTGGATATATATCTTTTTTTTAAATTTTATTCGATGTAATTTTGAATTGTTTTTTAATAGTATTTTATGTATTAGTTTTAAAATACTGAAATTTAGACAAATTAGTAAGGTATAGTTTCAAAGGACAGTTTTCTGAAGGATTATGTTTATGAACATGTGATAATGAAGTTGCATTCTTTTCAAAGAATGAGGTCAAATACATATTAAATATAAAACAGTTGTTGTTCGTATAATGTTTACATTCATCATTAAAATGTTTAACAAAATTCATATTATTGTTTAATCACATTGTCTCTTTCTCTCCAAGGTTGTTGTTAGAAACAGAGTGAGTGTTTGACATTTGTTATAATGATTGTTATTAAAATGTACCGAGTTTTTCTAATGTATGTTCAATGATAAAGTTTTCAAGCAATGTGTAATTTGTTTTTAAACAGTAGTTCCAGTGTTGTTATGTTTCAGTTTAGTTTTATATATGAGATATATCTCCTCAGTAAAGTAAAAACCTTACTTATCTTATTCTGTGGCCTCCACTCCCCTCACATGTTGAGGAGGGAAATGGAGCATGGAACCAGCTGTCTACTGGCTCATACAAGTTCAAAATATATGAAACTAATGGTAAAGGTTGTCTTGGTCCCGAACTACACATATTGTATCAGTACCATGTTAGGTAAGATGTAGAAAAGATGAAGCTTATAATTTGTTATGAAAGCAGTATAATGTGACTTTTGGGATTCGTAATTTTTGGAGACTTTGTAACCTTTTTGAGGGATACAACATCTAATTCTTAATTTATTTCTCTGTAGTCTAGCTACAAGTTTTGATAAGAATATAAAGGTGAAGCTTCAGTGTAATTTTGGAAGTACTGAAGATGAAGGTTGAACCATTTTCTGATGAGAAGTCTGATGGTCTGTTGGATATCAAATTGGAGAAAAGTGAAGATGAAACTTTCACAACAACTAGTAGTAAGTAAATATACATATTTAGAATTTATTTTCTGTTCTTCCCAAACAAAAATAGGGAGAATTTTACCTGTTTTAATTTATCAGCTTGGCTAAATTTTTTATTATTCATTGATGATTTTTATATGCATGATTTTATTTTCTGTCCCAGCGATGTATATCAGGAAAATTAGGTTTCATTCTCTTAGTTATTTTAGTCTTTGATTGAGTAAACCTGAATCTAATGACACATTCCTAATTTTCTTCTGAACCACTTAACCATTTTCCATGTGAGGTATTAGCTCTTTCAGAAGCTTCTTTTTCATTATTTTAGGACTTATTCCGTATCTGACCATGTAAACCTATAGATGCTTTGTTTGCAATCATTGATCAACATATTTGGATCAGACAATGGATTTAGAAGAGATCTGTTACATACTTCATTGTTGTTTGAAGTAATAATCAGCAACAAATATGAAACACTTCATTGTTGTTTGAAGTAATAATCAGCAACAAATATGAAACACTTCATTGTTGTTTGAAGTAATAATCAGCAACAAATATGAAACACTTCATTGTTGTGTGAAGTAATAATCAGCAACAAATAAGAAACACTTCATTGATGTGTGAAGTAATAATCAGCAACAAATATGAAACACTTGAAGTTGACTTAAACACAACTACAATAACTTAGGTAATTTATATAAATCAACTAATCATTATCTGGCATGTTGTGATAGTTCTTGAAGTAAACTTCTCAAGATTTGTTTAGGTAGTTGTTGTTGTTGTTTTTATGTTGTTTCATTTTCTGGCACTTAAATGATTTCCAAGTTGTCCACATATATAGTCCACCATAAGGTTTTTGCTATAAAGGAATCAGTTCAATAAATCCTTTTGATATGGGCAGGTCAAATTGCACATGCCAGAAATTTTTAGAGAACTAAATAAAAAATTCAATTAAATTACTTTATTATGGTTTGATATATTGTTTAGGTAGAGTATTCATGATGAGTAAACTTTGATGGATGGCAACTGCCTTTTGTAAAAACATAGGTATAGAGGATCACATTTCAAAAATCTTCTGTCTTTCATCTGCAGCCTTTCCACTAATCAGAATCAAGAATAAACAAACCAATCACAACATTTCCTCCACAATTCATCAGGATGAAGACCTCCAACATGTTATACACACACACTGGCCTGAAGAGGGGGGACTTTGAAACTTGTGTATTTACAAAGGGCAGTTGCTGTCCATTGCATCTTACTTTATTGTTATTGTTTATCAGTATACTTGGCATCAACCATAGTTAAAAAATCAAATTTCAATATAATATTAGTTCTTTATGTTATAAGGAAGTATTTAAAAAATCTTCTTCTCCCAAGTATGAGAATTATGACATTTGCTCTTCAGGTCTTTCCTCTTCTCTAATTTATTTGCTATCCCTGCAAGAAATACAATATTTAATGTAAATTACTCATAATATAAATATTACTCAGGCAAAGCATTTCTTGTTTGTTAATGGAGCTTTAACCCAGAAAATCAGACCCATTTGCCACACCCACTTCTCAAATCCTCTGTTACCAAGTTTGCTCATATTTCTCTTTAACATTTTATACTGTATTAGTTATAACCAATAGAAAACCAATGTTTTAATCTGTCAATTGACATATTACATTGTTTGCTAAACAGACAGTTGTCTATACATTTCCAGTTCTAAATTGTTTCTCAACACCTTGACAAACTAAGCTGAGTTTTTTAAAGGCTCTTATCACACAGTTAGAAAGCCAGAAGAATTATGATAGTTATTAAACATTGTTTTCTTTATGGGTTGTTACTCTGTGTTCTTAGGTACATTATTTAGTTAAATAAAAATTTACTTTAGTAGTACCATTAGTTTAAAAAAAAGTTAGGCTTAAGTTTTATTCACAATCGAGAGCAAAAACAAGAGGACCCAGATGAGTACTATATTTTTTGTTTTTTATATGTATTCTTTGTTATTATAAAAAACACAATTGAAATAAAAAATTATTGGGTAAGATAATAAAATTTCTTCATGAGGTATGCTTGCAGAGCAGCTCATGTGTTATGTAATTTGATACAGAAGTTGTGAGTGATTTACAACATGTGTGGCAGGATTATTAGTTAGGCACAGTTCAAAGGGCAATAAAAGAATTGAGTGTAAGCAGAGGTATACTGTTATTAGATTTAAACTATTTAGGATAAACAACTGTCGTATATAGTTTCAATGTGCAGTCATTGTAGAAAGAAAAAAAGAGTAATTTAGATTAATTTTGTATGTTTTATGGTGGTTAGGAGGTCAGATGAATTGACTGAATGGATATAGAGTTAGGATAGAGAAAATAAAGGATAAAATATTGAGTTTTACTGAGAAAAAGTTTGATATTTATTGAGCATGAAATTTCACAAATCTCGGGTAAAAAGAAAGTTTTTTAAATTTTAACATGAAAATCACTTTGTACTTGAAATAGTCAACACTCTGATTAAACATGTAAAAGATTATGGAAACTCTGAAGGTGAAGTTATGGTCACAAACTTAGCCAAGTTGACTGAGCCCGTAGCGAGAGAGTTAAAAGAAAAGAAAAAGTTAGTCAGTAATTCAAAAATAGTTCAAGTGGGAGATAGCTTTGGTAGCTTTGCAATAACAAAGACATGTTGTGGTAGTTTTGGGGACAATTTGAATTAAAACTGATCATGAGAACTACTTTACCCTGAAAAAAAAAAAAAATCTAAGCTAAACATACTTAGAGATTAAAAAAAACTTACAAATCTGGACAGAGCACAGATAACCCATTATATAGCTTTGTAGTTAACAACAATGAAACATTGTATTTGTGAATTTCTTTCTCTCCTAAACATGAATTTGAGTAAAGAAAAGATGACGTAGAGGCCTACTCTGTTCTTTTTTCATTACATCTCCTGCAGGAGACTAGTTTTGTTGAATTTACAGCTCATCAATATCTCTTCCTGAATCTAAGATAAATAAAATAGCTGTCATGTATCCAACATGTTGAAATCCAAATTGGCCAATTCTAGTTTTTCATGCTTCATCTAAATTGATAATAGCTTGACCTAGCAAGTTTTTTGCAGTTAAAAGCACAATCTACAGAGGTTACATCGAAACTGGGATCGAACATCAGTTTAGTTTGACATCAGAAATAGCTTATGTAGATTTTAAGATTTTGTGTAATGTAGTTTAATAACATTTCTACTACACAGAATAACAAAAGAAATAAAAGGATTTATATTAATGCAGTTAATAACTAAAACTAAGAAACTTTGAAATTTGTATTTTAAAAGTTAAAAAAAGAGTGGTTACATTAATTGCCCCTATAAATAAGAATCAGAAAATTACCATTATAGTATTAATAACTGTTCACTGTCTGACATACTATTTCACCAACTCTTTCTATATCACTTGCATTACAACAAAGGTTACTTATTACCACAATTTTTGAATGCTTTGGGCATGACAGATACTTTCATAACAAACTCACCTATTTTTGTGATTCCGTCCCCCCCCCATGCTTCACTGGTGCTTCCATCTTCTGCCAAAACTGGAAGTGATCCCTCCACCAAAAGGAGTGCGACATACTCTAATGACGCATAAGACTCCCTCTATTCCATTCTACCAAACTTTGACGCATGAGGGTTTGCATGAGAGATGCATTGGAATCAGCCAATTCCAATGAAGGTGAAATAGAAGGCTTGTGGCATGCATATTTTTTTTGCATATAGAGGGCAGCACTGAATGAGAATAGCTATTTATGTGAGAGAAGGTAAGTACCCATCAGAAATACATTTTCAGTGTAAGAAAATTTATAACTTTCTTATACTGAAAATGTAATTCTGATAGGCACTTACTTTTTCTCACACTTTCCACCCTTTCTCCCCACTGAAATCTGGTACTTCCGTTTTCTGCCAAAACTCGAAGTGAATTGAATAGAGGGAGTCACATGCATCAAGAGAGTATGACGCTCTCTTATTGGTGAAGGGTTTTTGCATGATCATTTGCATGCAAGATGCATTGAAATCAATTAATTCCAACTAGGTGGGAGTTTCAATGCTTGTGACATGCACAAAGAATGTTGCACATACAGGGCAGCACTGAACGAGAATAGCTATTCATGTGAGTGGAGGTATGTATGTACCTATCGGAAATAAATTTTCAGTATAGGAAAATTATAACATTTCATATTCATTTACTTTCCTACTCAATGTTCTCATTGCCATGACCTTGCAACTTTCCTACTCAATGTTCCCATTGCCATGACCTTGCATTTTGAGAACCATCTTACTCTTTTTTTGCTTCTTCCTGTATGCCTGCTGACTCAGCTGCTTACATTAAATTTGTAGAATTATCAGTTTTGTATGTTGTGTTTTTCAACTCCAGAAGTATATGTACTCTTTACTTAATTACTGTTGAGAATTTTCTGATACCAGGAATAGGAAAATACTTTCTCTCCTATGCTGGCTACTTATTTAGTGATCATTGGAGACTACATCTAACAATGTGCATCTCAGACCAGGTATGTTTTCAGAGCCTGCTCTTTACTGAAAGTTGATACATTTCTATGCACCAGTATATCTTGTAAGACATTATAGGAGAGGCCTGTTCAGCTAAATATGTTGTGTAGATTATGATTAAGTGGTACATAAGTTATGAGTCTTATAGTAGAGAAATCTTCATTGTTTGTATTTCTAGCTACAGGAAATGCTGATTACTTGGAAGAAAGATCTCTACATACCATTTTGAAGTTTGGTATGATAAAAGAGGAGAAACAAGATAACTATGATGGAGGTATACAGAAAACTGAGGTAATTTGTAGATTAAAACTTTTAGAGTTGTGTCATTAATGATAATATATAGTTGTAATTGTATCTTTCTGGACATATTGTTGAGACTGATTGGTATAATAACATGTTTGTAGTTGTTAGATAACACAACTGTTTCAACTTAAGTTTAATGCGAGTGTTATGATTTAGATAGCTTATATAGCATGAGAGTTGCATTTAGCTATTTTTAAAAGCAATACTTTATTGCAAGTTTGTTTCTGTAACTGGTCACGAATCATACTTTTGTAGTTCATTAGTTATGAATTGGTGATTGTTATATTATTTTCAAGTTACTAGAACTTTCTGAGTTTTTCTTGTTGTTTTAAGTGAATATTATTGCATCATAATAACTAGTAGTATGTGGAATGTTATTTGTGTAAAGTTACACTTTTTGTATTCTTTGATAGATATACTATGGTTTTTATTGAATGCAATGTTTATAAGCATGTTTTATTTTGGTTGTCCCTCCAGTGGCACAATGGTATGTCTGCAGACTTACAACAATATAAACTGAGTTTAGATATTCGTGGTGGGCAGAGTACAAATAGCCCATTGTGAAGCTTTGTGCATAACTACAAACATTATTTTAATTGTATTAATCAAATAAAGCTATCCAATCATATGAGTTCAGTCAACTGTTTAGTGAGTTATATTAGGTGACTGCAAAATACTGCAACTACTCAAATCATCATTTTGTATTATGTTTATGTTTTCTCTGTACAAAGTATTTACATAAATAAACTGGCTACTTAAATGTTTCTATCAGCAATCATGACACTTTTTAAAATATAAACTTTACTACCATTATTAATGATAGCAAAACCTTTTTTTTGTTCATTATTTAATTATTGGTTTATTTGTGCCTCTAGTGTTAACTTCCCTCTGGTCTATCCAGAGGCTCTAGTGTATTGAGTCTGGCCTGTTGATTTTAATTTCCACCTTCATCACTAGTCTTGTACATTCTGCATGTCTTTGACACATTTCAGGACAACACTGTGTATGTGTCAGTCTTTTCATAGACATCATGAAGAAAAAGCGAAAAACACCAAAAGGGGGGGGAAACAAATAATAAAATCCACAAACCACTCATCCACTTAACATGTAGAAAAAAAAAAAAACATTACATTTTTTGTGTTAGGTATCGCCAGATCTCACTGAATTTTCAGCCTTACCCCATAGGAAATGTTTACCCCCAAATCCACATGAAGCAGGAAAGTACAGATAGTCTTACCCCAATATGCTCTTGCTTGTGGCCCACTATTGAGATGGGGTTCTCTTAAAAACTGCTTTGATACCATATCTATATAACTGATTTGGCCATTTGAATATTTTGTAGAAAAAAATAGAAAGCTAACTGTACCAAATATAATTATTCACTCAAACCTGGCTACTACTTTGATGTCTTTAGTCGTGGTAACCTATTCCAATACACTATCTCCTTGTGATGATGCATTTCCAGTTGATTATGCTTGCTGATATTGGTCCATGCACAAGGTGTTTTAACCTGGTATATGATTTTACCCCTTATTCCTTTCGTGGAGTACAAAAGAACTCTGTCTTCTTCAGTACCAACTTCTATGTGTAAGTTGATATGGGGAGATCCCTTTGCAAGTGGTGCCTTCCCTCCTGTAATAGACCAGTTGCGTACATTCTTAATTTGAGATATAGGGCTTGAAGTGTAGTATATTACACCTTTTTACAATATCTATTAAGCAATTCCATATGGATATGTCCAGTTGGCTGAGATTTGGATATGCCTTGGAATATACATGAGGGCTCCTTTTTGTTCAACCTGCAGTTATGGTATCTATCTAATGTAAGTATTTGACCAAAGTGGAATGGGTTAAAACCTTAGCCACATTATACATTTTAATGTTCTGCCCAACTTGACAACATGCAGCTACGAGCAATTACTTTTCCTGATGTCTTTTGCTTTACTATAACAGTAATTTAACATTCAAAACCCATACAGTATTCTCTTCTCTAAAAAGATGCAGTCTCTCACTGGTTACTGCTCCACTAGGTGACTCCCTGTCCCATGGAAGCCAAATCCCATAAGCTTTCTTTTTCTGTTGCCATTTTAGAAAGATGCTCATCTTTGTAACTGATTAGCAGTGACCCTTCCACTGTCATCAGTGTGAGATTCTATCTATGAGTAGTGTAGAGAGATACATAATGTATCTAAAGTTAATATTTCACTTAGACAGGAATCGAAGTTTAATAATGAATAACAGTAAAATGGCAACAGTAACAAACACTTGGCACATGTAGTAACAAACATATAATTATTTACTATTTTGGAATATACATATTCCATCTTCAGCAAGTTATGTTAAAGTAAAATATTACGTACAAACATTTCTAAATATCTAAAGTCCCAAAATTTTAGGAATGGTTACTTACATAACTAAATTTAAAGGATTAAGTTTATTAATTACATTCTATTGTTTTAATCTAACTAACTGTGGAGACTATGTGTAATGTTAACACTAACTGTTATTTTTATTGACCTTTTAAATATGTTGTTTGATTTCAGAACATATTTGTCCAAGAGAAATCAGAGCATCCTGATGATCTGATAGAAAATGATATTATTTCAAAGTTCAGTGACAACAATGATGATGATCTGGATAGTTCAAATTATAATAATATGGATGTGAAAATGAAAACTGAATTTCAAGAAGAAATTGAATCTGTGTTACAAAGTACATCTGGTAAGTACAAACATCTAAAACTATTAAGTGCATTGATACTGGCTTACAAAAATTGTTTAAATTCTTGATACTTTTTAAAAATTACTGAACAATAGGAGACAGGATTAATTTGAAGTATATAGATCTATGTTCGATGTCTTTTTTCTTAATTCTATTTGGTAATGTTTTTGTGTGACAGGTTTTGAAGTGATAAAATGGCAACAAAACATTTAACAAAATGTGCAAGATTATCCTTGCCTGAATGTGAATAGGGAGAACAATAATTGTTTCTATCTGCCCATAGTTTATCCTCCTGGATCTTCTTCTATAAACTTTCTAATTAATAATTGGAACCTATATCAGAAGATTAATGTTTCAGTATGTACAGAAAATGTATTGTAATTACTTATTTATGTAGATTTTAATGATCTCAGATCTCGAATCCCTTATTTTTACATACTGAAGACATCAATTAAACAGCTTCTAATCAGAAGGATAATACCCAAGCTTGATAAAAGAATAAATAATATACTGATCAATAGTATAGTCTAAATCTTGTCATTTATGAATATTTATTTAAATTTCATAAAGAACTTTTGAACAAAATGTATAAAGTATTTATGTTAAGTAACATTTTAAAATAGACAGATCATTAAATTTGTTGATAATCAAACATTTCAAGGTAGAATATACCTCAAACGTACATTGGTCGTTGTGACACTGTACTATCATATTTCTACAGGTGATTTTACTTTATCTACTAAAAACCTGTTGAAAGTGGAATGTTACCTACATTTTGTTTTCACTATTATTCTGATTCAGGTAGAAAAGCTTTTATAAAGTGTGAACCTATGAAAACTGCACAATAATTAATTTTTAGCTGTAATATTTTCATATTGTTATTTGTACTGATCATATTAGAACATTAAATATATTTAGAAGTTCATCAAATATATTATTAACCATGATTTGGCATAATTTATATCTATTTTAGATATGAAGACCAGTGTGAACATGTGTTCTGAGAGTCAGTGTCTTGGTTATCATGTTATAAAACAAGAAGATCACTATGCAGAAGTTATAAAATCCACAAATCCAGACAGTGGTATATGTGGAGAAACAACTTTAAATGGAAATAAGCTAAACAAATTTATTATTCCCCAGTGTAATAGTAAAACATATAGTTTTGTAGTCAGTGGAAAAAAATTTGGAACAATGGATAACCTAACACAAGAAAAGAGGATACAATCTGTAGAGAAACCGTATCATTGTGCAGTTTATGGAAAACGTTTTGAGAGCAATAGTCCTTTAAAACAACATGTAGTAAACCACAATGGGGAGAATCCTTATAGTTGTGGAGTTTGTAGAAAACAGTTTGTATCAAACAGTAACTTAAAAATACATCGGAGAATACACACTGGTGAAATTCCATACAGTTGTACAGTTTGTGAAAAACAATTTAAAACAAATAGTAAATTAAAAAGTCATCTAAGAATACACACTAAGGAGAAACCTTACAATTGTACAGTTTGTCAAAAACAATTTGGAACAAGTGGTTACTTAAAATTACACCAAAGAATACACACTGGGGAGAAACCATACAGTTGTACAGTTTGTTCAAAACAATTTAGAACAAATGGTGAATTAAAGGAACATCTAAGAACACACAGTGGGGAGAGACCATACAGTTGTACAGTTTGTGAAAAGCAGTTTGGAGGAAACAATAAATTAAAAGTACATCAAAGAATACATACTGGGGAGAAACCATACAGTTGTACAATTTGTGAAAAACAATTTAGAACAAACGGTAATTTAAAATTACATCAAAAAACACACACTGAGGAGAAACCTTACAGTTGTTCAGTTTGTGAAAAACAGCTTAGAACAAAGGGTGAATTAAAAATACATCAAAGAATACATACTGGGGAGAAACCATATAGTTGTACAGTTTGTGAAAAGGAATTTCGAACAAGAGGTACTTTACAATTACATCAAAAAATACACACTGGTGAGAAACCATACAGTTGTACAGTTTGTGAAAAACCATTTAAAACAAATGGTGAATTAAAAAGTCATCTAAGAACACACACTGGGGAGAAACCTTACAGTTGTGCAGTTTGTGAAAAACAATTTAAAACAAATAGTGAATTAAAAAGTCATCTAAGAACACACACTGGGGAGAAACCTTTTAGCTGTACAGTTTGTGAAAAACAATTTGTATCAAGCAGCTACTTAAAATTACATCAAAGAATACACACAGGGGAGAAACCTTACACTTGTACAGTTTGTGAAAAACAGTTTGGAACAAGTGGTTGCTTAAAATTACACCAAAGAATACACACTGGGGAGAAACCTTACAGTTGTACAGTTTGTCAAAAACAATTTAGAACAAGTGATTACTTAAAATTACACCAAAGAATACACACTGGGGAGAAACCATACAGTTGTACAGTTTGTGAAAAACAGTTTAAAACAATTGGTGAATTAAAACAACATCTAAGAACACATACTGGGGAGAAACCATACAGTTGTACAGTGTGTGAAAAACAATTTGGAACAAATGGTAATTTAAAATTACATCAGAAAACACACACTAAAGAGAAACCATACAGTTGTACAGTTTGTGAAAAACAATTTAAAACAATTGGTGAATTAAAAAAACATCAAAGAATACATACTGGGGAGAAACCATACAGTTGTACAGTTTGTGAAAAGCAATTTGGAACAAGAGATAGTTTAAAAAAACATCAAAGAATACACACTGGGGAAAAACCTTTTAGTTGTACAGTTTGTAAAAAACAATTTGTATCAAGCAGTTACTTAAAAGTACATCAAAGAATACACACTGGAGAGAACCCTTATAGTTGTACAGTTTGTGAAAAACAATTTGTATCAAGTAGTTACTTAAAATTACATGAAAGAATACACACTGGGGAGAAACCTTTTAGTTGTACCGTTTGTAAAAAACAATTTGTATCAAGCAGTTACTTAAAATTACATCAAAGAATACACACTGGGGAGAAACCATATAGTTGTACAGTTTGTGAAAAACAATTTGTAAGAAGCAGTACATTAAAAAGACATCAAAGAATACATACTGGTGAGAAACCTTATAGCTGTACAGTTTGTGGAAAAGAATTTGGAACAAATGGTAATTTAAAATTACATCAAAAAAATGCACACTTGGGAGAAACCTTACAATTGTACAGTGTGTGAAAAACAGTATAGAACAAATGGTATATTTAAATTACATCATATAATACATACCGGGTAGAAACCTTATAGTTGTACAGTTTGTGGCAAGCAGTTTGGAACAAGAAGTAATTTAAAATTGCATCAAAAAACACACACACTGGGAAGAAACTTTACACTTTTGTATAAAACAATTTGAATCAAGCAGTAACTTACAAAACCAATGAACACACACACTGATAAGAAATCTTACAGTTCTGTGTGAAAAATATTTTGTAGAAAAGGAATTGTTGGATATAGCAATTTAAGGCAACATCAAATAAGAAATTGTATTTTTTTTGGAAACCATACAGTTGTTGACTGTATGGAAAAGACTTTAGAAAATATGTTGAATAAAAAGTACATGTAGATGTACACAGTGGGCAGAAACATTACATTTCTGTAACCTCCATACCTCAGCAGTTAATTAGCATGACTTACAATAGTACAATTTGGATTTCAATACCAGTAGTTGACAGATACACATAGCCTATTGTTTAGCATTGTGACCTACCAGATAACATAACATTAGAGGACAAAAAGAGACCATTTGTCAAACCCTGGAATGCAACATTGTAAGTCTGTGAACTTACCACTTTCCCACTGGTGATTCTACTTTATGAATATCCTTATTAAGTTCTTCCTATGGTAAATAGATCCCTACAAAAAAGTATTACTTATTTACATATACTATCTTTAACTATTTTACATACATTTTTTATCAGGAACAAAATCAAGACTTCTAAATATGAAAGATATAGAGCACTCCAGAAAGAGTTACTTATTAATAGTTTCTACCTTCCTCGTCTACTTCACATACCATCCTTATCAGGAACTAAAGACAAATATGGTAGACTGAACCCTGTAGAAGGTGTTACTTATTAATAAATTCTCCCTCACCTACTTCATGTACCATCCTTCAGAATGATAATCCTCAAAAACTCATTAATTCATTGAACCAGTTTAATGCTTTAAAATTTTTAAACATCAAGTGAAGATACCAGCTGCACCAAGAAAGCACTGAGTCTCCACCACCCTATGATAAAAACAGAAGTTGTGATTTTCATAGCAAGCAAGCTTTTTTGAGCTTTAGCCTCATCAGATCTCCAGCTCGTAAAATAATAAGCATAAATTACAAACCCTTCTACTAAATTGTTTTTAATCTTTTAAGTTTTATAGGAACACTTGACTTATTTTGTTCTTCACTTACAAATATTTAAATTTAAATATAAATTGCAGAGAAAAGGAAGAATATGTACATAATCACTAACTTATTGATAATTATGACAAACCAAACTTTCCACAGTTAATTCTTATATAGATATTCTTTATGTGTCTCATTTAGTCAGTCATATAAACTATTAACCAAGCTTAGTATGAGTTGAAACTTCAACCTAATAATTATAATGTTATGGTTATAGTTCATCACAAAATATTTTAGCACTCCTGCAGAAAAGTTTTGCAATTGAAAATCAGTTTTAATATAATTAAAACTCACAGAAATTTTAAAAGTAATGTCATGATTTGAAAAAATACCACCTTTATTTCGAAATTCACTTGTTTTAATGTTGCAGGACTACCAGGTTTCATAATTAAGAACCATTTTTGTTATTGTAGTTAATGTTCATTTGTAATTTAATTAATTACATCCAGATGAAAATTACTGTTCAGTGGTGTAAAGATTTACTCCAGAACTTTAACAGTCAGTTTTAATTTATTGTGCATGTTAAACTTTTTTTTTTCAATATTAAAAATTCTACAAAAGTGTCTATGTTCAATCTATTCATAATTAATTTTACAACTGAAAAGTTTTGATACAGGTTATGAGTAAAACTTTACTAATTCTGATAACATTATAATTGCTTCTCCCTGAAAAGAAAAATAGACGTAGTAATGGGACAGTTGTGCATTAAATGTTATTACTACTGGAGAAACAGTATATTGTTTTAAGATTATTAGGTTATATTATCCTGATTCTAGTCATTATGCATACAATTAGAAATAGTAATCAAGTGTTTATTCATTTTAACCCCTTATAACTTTTGTATTTTTGTAACTGTGTTATTAGAAATTCAGAATATTTGCAATTATAAAAAAAAATGTTGGTAAATGTATGAGGATGAATACTGATATCTTTTATCTTCTTTTTTTTTCATACTTAATCTTATTAAATGATTTTTTTTATATAATCATAAAGCCACATCAGACTTGTTGTACCCACCAAGGGTAATGAAACCCCAGTTTTGTAAATGTGTAGACTTACTACTGTCCCACTGTGGAACAAATTAAAAATGACTTTGGTTTTCCTTTTATGTGACATTACATTATAACCAGTGAATTATAATAAAACAGTAATTTAAAGATCTAATGAGTAGATTTTTTGTTAATATTCCTGATTTTTATGATCTACAAATGCTGTACAGCTTGTGTAGATGAAATTCCATTGTTTTGTTAATATTTCTTGCAACTTATTTTCACTATAATTACATAATATGTACAAAGACATGATATATTTGATTAATTTATATTTAACTAACAACATGAATATACTGTGTTGAAGCCATCAGGTAGTGTACTAAACTATGTACCTGTTAATGCAAAAAAACAAGAATCACCCTCAGCATTTAGGGCGATGGGTATGATAAATGAGTGCTGGTCAAATCCCGCTAGTTGGTCTGAGTTGGTGATGGGTGATAATGATTAGCTGCCTTCCCTTTAGTCTGTGACATTAAAGTTAGGGATAACTAATGCAGACAGCCCTGATTTAGCTTTACGCAAAATCCAACAAATGAATATAATAGATTCATAAGCTTAAAAAATAATTGGTTTGTATTCTATTTGTATGAATATGTTAACCTTCATTGGAAAATCTAATTTAGATTAATAATAGCTGGTGATCAGCAAGCTTTTTTTCCCTTGTGGTATTGTTGATTTTTAATAGGGTGGTCCATTTCAGACAAGCTTATGTTACCAATTAGGAATTAATTTTTCCACTAGTAGTGCATCAGAATGTTACTTTAATATGAATTTCAAAAAACAACATGTTATAATATGAAGTTTAGCTTAGAAGAAACTGTTTTGCCAGCACAGTGGATCACAGACCAAACTGATTCTTCAAAAATTATTACTCACAGTAATCAGTTGTAGGTTCTTTTTATTTCTTTGGAATCAACTTAGCTCTCAAGACCTTTATGTATTTTTTACATTGAACGTTACACCTAAAAGGCATGCAAGTAGCAAAAGTATGTCTGATATTTGTTGGTCATTCTATGTTTTTCAATTTGAAAACATTCTTTATCTGTAATCTAAAAACATTGGTTAGTTTATTATATTTCTGACAATAGAATCATGTTAATATACTGTATGCAGCTGCTGATTGTCTGATGTTTTTATTTACTAAGAACGTATAATGTTTTAATTATTGCAATAGTTATTTTATTTTTATAAATGTTTTTAAAGTGAAACAACGATTGTTTTAATAATACTTAATTGTATGTCATAATCATCCACAAGGTTAGAAATATTTTGTTTGATAATTATTAATAACTATATTTTACGTATAATTAAATTTGTCACTGCTTAATTTTCAAACCTTTGGTGTGATTATGGGGTTTATGAAGTAGGATTATGTGAGCATAAGTTGCAAATATAAGACTAGAATAAGCATACATGAACCAATAATTAATAATAATTTTATATTATATTACTAAAGAATTGAGTTAGTAATATAAACATTTCAGTACCGTTGCTTTTTTATTTCATACTATAATGAGACACAAATATTATCAAATAATGATTAAAACATTGATAATTTAGATAAATAATTGAAACGTTCGTAATTCGTACTACTCGAGGACATGTATTTGATTTCTCAAGTTTCACTTGTAAACTTTTTTGCTTTTTCCAAGCAAACCAATTTACGTAAACAAGCTTTAAATCTAAGAATATTTTTATGTAGTTACATTAAAGTGCTACTTTGAAGAATATTTCCAGTGAAATGTCGAAAATAAGAACGTTACTTTAAGATAAATTAATGGTGGCATTTTGACGAGAAAAAACAATTGAAACCGTTGTGATTCTTTTCATGTTATGTATGTAATTCAGTCAGTATTTCATTGTGTGTAATGCAGAAAATTATTGCTTATACTTCATACAGAATTAAACAGAAAGTGCAATAAATAATTATTTAAACGTGTGGTAAAACTAGTAGGATCATTTGTTTGTAGTTAAGCACAAACCTACACAATGGGCTACCTGTGCACTGGCCACCACGGGTATCGAAACTCGGTTTTTAGCGTTTTAAGTCCGCAGACATTCCGATGTGTCACTGGAGGGGGGGGCAGTAGGATGACGAATTTCAATGTATATTTTTGACAAAAGTAGGCTCTACTGTTTTCAGATAATTTTACTCGTATAACATTATTAAAATAAGAGTTTTATTTTTTAAAATAATTTTATTTTGTTATCTGGTAAGGTATTATTAAGAATCTAACGTCTTACTCTAAACTACCCAGTCAAGATTACCAAAGAACAGTAATACAAAATATATGCACTCTTGAGCTCAGCTTTGAATATACTGTTACGACAGCGGAAGTCACGTGACCCTGGTAACACGTCATGAACTTCTGGAAGGATCCTAGATTGCGGTAGTCTTGTATATATAAGACTGTCAAGACGTGACAGCAACAATGTGTAATTGAACTGCGGACAGAGTATTGGTGAGTCGAGCACGTGAGACGTTCGTTGTGAATTATAGCGTTTGTTATAGCGCGACTGTTGAAATTAAGTGTATCGCAAAGTTGTATTCAGAAAGAATAAACCAGTTTTATTTAAGAAAGGACTTGTATCGCTAAAGTTTCTTCGGAAAGAATTTTTGCGGAAAATTAACTAACGACCAGAGACGTAACATTGTGATACCAACTTATTATTGTTTATTTCGTTAAGAAAATAATTTTGTTTGTGTACATGCTTTATTTTTTAACCCCCAGTGGCACAGCGGTATGTCTGCGGACTTACAACGCTAGAATCCGGGTTTCGATACCCGTGGTTGACAAAGCACAAATAGCCCATTGTGTAGCTTTGTGCTTGATTACAAACAAACAAACAAAGCTTTATTTCATAAATATTGCTTCCGCTTTTCAGTATAAACTGACAACGAACAAGATGATAGTTAACCCATTTACTATTAGTAGAGAAATAATTAGTCGTACAGCGTTATTTTTTTGTCAACTCGTCATAATTTTCAGCAATGTGTAACAACGATAATTCCAAAACCACCTACACAAAAATTTGGAAGCAGCGAGAATCGAAGAATTAAAACCTAACATTAATAAAACACCAAGAGTACGCTATATTTATATTAAGTTAATTAATTCTAAAACAAGAGAGGGCCAGTGTCAGAAATTAAATTATTTGATTGGATGTATTTTTGAATTGAATATTCTTGTACCTTAGATATTGTGCGTGATTGTGTCTCACAGAAATAAATCTATTAATGTTTATGTTAGAAACAGATGTTTCAAAACTACATAGCAAAATCTTAGATGGATAAAACTTGGACGATTGCCCATTTGTACTGAACGCATGCGCATTACTTTCATGGGGATGCGATTTCGATAGGGCAGTATGTGGTAGCAAAAATGTAAAAGGTAAATAAATATTATATAGTTTTTTGGAAAAACTTAATTTATATGAAATATTTAAATTTATTAACTGCCAATGAATAATGAAGCAAAAAAAAAAAAAAGAATTGTGGTAGTTTGAATTAGTATAACTTATATTCGTTGTAATATAGTTTAGTATTGACAGTATCTAAAACTGTTGACTGGAAGAAATAGAACTACAGTTGGAAATTAAAAATTCTAATTTTAATTATTTTTGACGTCTAATATTGTGATAGTTGATGGAATATGAAATTTTGTGTTAACCGTAATAACTACTCGGTAATAACGTACAAGATGCAAACAGTTTGAAAATCACGTATTATTCCAATACTGCTAGCAATATGAAATACTAAAATAATTTATTTCTCAAAAATGCTTTAAAAGTAATTTTACCAAAAGATCAACATTTGAATTTTGTAAGACTTTTCAACAAACAAATGTTCAAACTGGTGTATTTATGTGTTTTACACTCAGAAAAAAGAAACCTATCATTCTATAGGTATTTGATGAACTTAGACCAATCCACCACAATTTAATTCTTCCTATTGTTAGCCGACACTGGGCAGCTTGTACATAATTGAATAAGTAGACTTGTTTAAATATTTGTTTAACAACAAGTGAAAGCTTGGAATGGTCACTGATGAGGAGTGGAATTCTCTGAAACTAGTCTGCCTCACAGACACACATCCCAGTGAAAGAATAGACCATTCCAAGCTTTTACTTGTTGTTAAACAAATGTTTAAACAACTCTACTTATTAAAAGAAATATTCATATTGAAACATTAGCATTCATTCATTCATTCCACAGAATATAAAACTTCATTACTTTTGAAAATAAAATTCACTGAAGTTTAAAACTTGTGTATTACTGTACATGTACAATGTAAGTACTATGAAACAATATACAACTGTGTTATGATATGTGGGTAGGATACACAGATAGGAACAGAAATTTGCTCATAAAACTGTTGAACAGACATGGAAAATAGTGTTTTGGCTATATGCAAAACATTTTCAAACAGTTTATTATTTCAGTTAGAAGGAGTAAAACTTCTCTTTTTTTTTTCTAATTGTAATAATACAAATACCTCAATTGTTCACTTGGAATTTTGGCACACCTAATGTACTTAGAGGGAACAATAGTGTTATAAATGTGTGGTTGCTGAACTTCACTTTGTTTCTCTTCATGTGATTCTGGTTAGTTTTGACTATTTAGTTACATCTTATGTTCTATATTTCATCTGGTAATATACTACCTGTATTTTCTCTTAAAATTTTCTAGAGCAGGGTGAAGTCTGTATTCTCTCACTGAGTACTCTTGATTTTATCCTAAAGAATTACAAAGTTTTGTCTCTTTAAATAATAATTACAACAGTATTATGCTAGTATTAATAATGGACATATCTGTTTAGCATAAAAATATTAACTTTGTGCTTAATTTTATTTTTATTGCACTTTTAATGTTTATTATGTTAAGAAAAAAAATAGACGCACAATTTCCTATCCTTTGTTACAAATGAGTTTTTATTTTACCCGTCCATTGGATGGATACTCCAGCTACTTTAATATAAAATACTGTAAAAAAAGATTTAAAACTACATGTAATACAAGTAAAATATACATACATACATATATATCCAAAAGTAATTTATCAACTGCATATGTTAAAATGAATTCAATGTTTAATTACTTCCCGCAACATTATACCAAATGTCAAAAATCCACTCACTCAATCTCTGACAACAACCTTAGAGAGAGAGAGAGATATACAAGGTAAGTAAACAATAATATGAATATTGTGAAATGTTTTAATAAATATAAATATTACGTTTCATATCTATTTGACCTCTCGTTTTCAAATTGATTATTGATTATTAACTTTATAAACACAATCCTTTAGATGATTGTACTTTTTAAAACTATACCTCAAAGATTTTGCTAAATTTCAGTAATTTTAGAAATAAACTACATACAGCAAAGTGTGAGTCCAGGAAAAATACACAGTTGTATATCAATCATTTCATAACTGTTCCTTATTAATTTCCATATTTCTTGACCAAACTTCATACAGTATGACAGGAGGAAGGTCATGAGGGAGGGTTGGATCCTTCCCCCTCTAATTTCATACTGATAGAATTCTTGAAAAACAATTTCTTTCTTTTCAGTATTGTACCTTTATAACACATTTTTCATAAACTTGATTGTTGCCCACACATCAGGAAAACTTAATATACTTTAACAAAAACCAGTTTTTCTTTTAAATATATGTTTAATTAATTTTTTATGAAGCTTGGGATGTGATGGTTGTATTTGGTGAATCATTCCATAATAGAAAATTTATTTAGAATTTTGGAAGGACTGAAACTATCAATAATTCAAATCGTAAATGTTTTAACGGTGTTTCAGTAGTTCCACTGTTGTCGTGTTTTAGTGTAGTTTTATATATGAGGTATGTCACCTGAATAGAGTAAAAAACTTACTCTCCAGTCATTACATAAAAGTTTAAAGTACATGAGACTATTCATGAAGGCTGTCCTGGTCTCTAACTACACATGTTGTTTCAAAATCATGTTATATCAGATTACGTCACCAATTTTTATCTTCTGTATAAATAATATGCTTCCATTTTCCTGTCTCGAACTTTTCTCACAAATTTTTCAGTAAAATGTGATAAATCTCGTATCTTTAGAAAGTCTTTTGTGTGAGGAATCCAAATTGCATATTGATTTTTCCATTCAGAATCAACTTATCTGTTATTGTTTAGTCAAACTTCTTAATACAATGAATATGCCACAAAATGGCATAATTTTGTTGTCATCACATGATAAATGGCTTTGATAAGTTTCTATTTTAATTTTTTATTTGCAAAGATTTCACACAATGAACACTTAATCCATG